CGCGGAGAGAGGACTTCACTTCTCAAATGCCTACTCAGTTCGAGATGGCACCTCTTGGCAAGCGTTATTCTGGGTTGGATTTCGAAGCTGACGTTGTTTATGGTATTAGTACCGGCTCCAAGATGGACAAAATTATGTACTCCTGAAATAATTTTGGAGAAAATTGTGTCGTCGACAGTCTGTGACCAAACACAAATCTGTCGTAAATCGTTTAAGTTTCGATTACAATTCCTTGAGAACAGACTAGATTGGGTTAGGTCGTAAGGCTGATTCTCGCACCAAAGGTAACATAGGATTCCACTTGGATATGAATTACCGAACTCTTAAAGGACGACGAAGCGCTTTTAGTCTACCACAAACTTGTTAAGGCCAATAATACTAATCGCATCATATTCGCCAGGTTCCTCGAAAGTTTGTCTACCAAAACCTCAGTCGGGCAAAAACAGAACAGCTGAGAAGAAACTGTTTCAATGATTCCAACCTAAATTCTTCCATACAACTTTATAAATTTGCGTGCGACATAAGACCCACCATCGCGGCTTGAAGTATCTTGCTAAACACAAGTTGTTCAGAACATTTTTTCCGTTTCACTTTGAGCCAGAAGGATCTTGCAGAGGTCGCACAAGTTTTAGTTGTTGAGCAGCACTTGCCAAGCTTACGAGAGGTCCATAGGACCAACGCTAGAGAAGAGCAGAGTACTGACTTCATAACTCATCCTGCTTAATAAAATTGGGTGTCCGCGCTAACAAGCTCATGGGTTTTGCAGTTTCTGGCAATCTCGCTGTGTGAAAGGAATCGGCTAGATTGCGCTCCTTCTTCCAACTTCAATTAATTGCCAGTCAGTTACAATATTAAACCGCAGCTACAGTGGAATCCCAGACTCATACTTGAGACCGATTTTTAAATTATTAGCGGAAAGAAAATATTTGTAAACATTTTTCTGACATGAAAGTTTTTTCTGATTTTATGTACATACATATATATTTTTTTTAAAGCAATAATTTTTTATAAAGAATTGTAAAATAGTGAAATATATTTCTCAGTGTGCGATAATTTTATAACAGACTGTTTTTTTTTTTCTCATTTGTCGCAGGTCGCTGAGCAGTGTATTTATTTGCGGCTAAGCAATGGATTTCACTACATACTTACGTACATACATTCGTATACGTAAACACGTAGATTTGCGCGCACGTTTAGAAGTGCGTGCGAAACAAAATTTCATCATACGCTCGCTTATACCCCGAGGAAAGCTAAGTGTAGTGCAACGTGAAGTGAGCGGCAGTAGAAACACAACGCATCAGAAAAAAACTGTTTAATGAAAGCATCAGTGAAGCAGAGCTCAGGAGGAGCGGGGTAAGTGAAATGAACTTTCCTAATGATATCGCATAGCCGAGTGGCTTGGACACTTGATTTAATTATGTGGCAATGCTGTGCTGCGCTTACACACATAATATTCATTATAACACTATTGCCTCACCCCTCACTAGTGCCGCTCCCCTACACACCGCCTTTCAATTCACAAGTTTATTAGTTTTTTCTTGCTTTTTTTTTTGCGCCGCTACCGCAATACCGCAAATGATGTGCAAAATGATGTGTACGAGTATTGAAATGACGACAGACAGTTCAACTGACAGTACAGTGTGAATGCAAACAACGGCATGCGAATGTGTAATCGAGCGTTTTGTGAGTGCAAGTCAGGCAAGCAGGCAGATAGGCAGTACGCGTCAGTGATGCGCTGACAGCCGGATATGCTTTGTGGCTTTGACGTGCATACATACATATTATGACAGTTTACAGCTATAAGTATATTTTAGTAGCAACAAATAAGAAGTGTTTGCGGAAGGATGAATAACAATAATGCCGTTGCCAAGGGTTAAAACGTTTTTGAAATTCTTTATACCCTAAACAGGTTGTATTAAATTTGTCACTAATTTGGAGCACCCAGAACAAGTTTCATTGGTGGGTTGTGTGGCATTCTTCCCTTTTTTGTACACAACATTTAAAATGAAGGGAATTTATTCAATATTTTCGCTCATTTTTGAACAGGTGTTTTATTTATTTATTTTATTTATTTTTTTGACTAAATGAAGCTTAAAATCTCACGGACCACTATAGCATATAGCTGCCATACAAACTGAACAATCAAAAACAAGATAAGAATATTTTAGACAATTTTATGCCGTAAGAAATTCACCTGTGAGGGGTATTACATTTTTTTTTATCATTTAAGTACTTTGTAGCTTTATTAAATTTTCTATGAAAACATTTTAGAACTCCACTTTGTTCTCAATATTCTTGCATTGTGCTTTGACGTCTTGACGCACTATGTACCTAGCCTTAGTAATTTTTGCATGAGCTTTAAAGCTTGACTTTTCTTTCTAAAAAACCTTGTAATTTTTATTTCTTTTAACCAACCTAGATGCTTTTCTCTCTTTCTTTACCTTGTTCTATTATATATACTTAATTTAACCATAAACACTTCAAATCACTATGTACTCTGCTTTAGTATATTGTTCTACAGCTTTGATAACTTACTTGTTATATATCTTTTGTTCATAACTTACTTCACCACTTTCTTCGCTATTCTAAGTATCCAAGCCTCACTCCACTACTCAGTCAGCCTTAGCAGTTTAGGATATAGCTGTAAAAAATTTACTACTTTTCTGTAAGCTTTGTTTTTCTTAATTACTCCTCGCTTCGTCATATAGATCTTCATTCAATGGTGTTCACTATGTGTTCAGGCTTAAGCGTTATTGAAAGAGCTTTTAAAGCTTAAGTCACTTTTTTGTATCACGTTACGATACTTCTTCAGCCTTAGCCGTTAGCAAAACTTAAATTTTCTTTATAAAATACGGTTGAAAACTTGATCAGTTTTGTTAAAAATTTAATATTTTATTCAGCCCACTAATTTATACTCATCCCTAAAGTACTACTATGTTTCAGCTTAAGTAGTGAATAAACCAATTTAAAAGAGTTCCGTTCCTTAAAAGGTGCTTGCTGGTACTTTACATAACTCCAGTGAACAGGATTTGTTCCAGTATGTGCTCGGCCTTATGGTCAATAAAGAAGCTCCTTTCTTTGTTCAATTTTGAGATCTTAAATTTTATGCATTTCTGCTTCACTTTTAGCATTATACAAAACCCGAGCGATTACTTTACGCTGCACTATGTGCTCAGCCTTACTATCTAATGAAATTATTGTTCCCAAAAGTGCAAAAGTTTGTATGCAGTTGCCCACATATGCTAACACGTGCGGGTGTATGTGTATAACGGCATAAAACTAACATAAAATCAAAGGAATTTCACTGCCCGTTTATTTTTAATTAACGTTAAAAGCATTCCCTAAATTCCCACGATGACCAGTTTAACCGAAATAATGGTCATAAAACCACGTAAGCCAAAGTGTTAGAGATAGAAGAAGGTAGATGGCATCTTCTCCCACAGTACGGTGTAAATTGGCAACTTAAAAGTATAAAAGGCTCGTTCATTGACATGTTTTACGGATAAGCTCGGATTCGTGGTGTTGAAGCTTAGCTCTAATACGTAACGACAATGCGTAACTAAGTGCCGTCGAAACGATAGAATTTATGGCTTCTTTTAGCTACTTTCAGCAAATATTGTAGTGAATACTAATACTTATTAGTAGTAGCAATTGAATCCCGATGCCTCAAATTTGATAGAGAATTAATTTAGCTAGTCTCAGCCGTGAAGTATTCACAAAAACTTGGTTCAATCAGACATTACTATGAAATGGGAAGCGCAAACATATGTTCGATGGATAATTTTATATCATTAATTTGGGTTTGTCACAGTTTTAAGATCCTTAGATCGGCATTTTGACTTTACAAATGTTTTTTTATAACAAAAATACTCCTTGTTATTTGAAATCGTATACCAAGAGACGATCTCCACATAGGGAATCGAAAAAAATATCACTATCACCTTATAAATATCGATAAGTCATCGAGATTTTTTCTAGTTATCGATTATTAGTTCAAAAATCTTTTATGAAATCAATTTTGAAAACTAATCCTAATATTTTTGAAACGTTAAGCAGGTTAGATAAAGTGTAATTTTTGTAAAAAAAACAGAATAAACTAGTCGAAAAAAATTCAATCCTAATGTAAAAACTATAAGCATTAAATTAATCTAAAAGTATTATTTTTTACAAACTTATTCCTTAACTTATGATTTAGCAATATTTTTTTAAGTTTATTTACTTTATTTTAATTAATTCCGATAAATTCGATATTAGCGGTCCGATAATATATCGATAAATTTATCTAATAAATATTTATGATATGATTTATTGCACTCAAACTGCTCTTTTGTCGGAACTGCCAATATCGGATCAAATTCATATAAATTCGATATATTTTTCTATTATTGCGCTTTATTGCTCGTTTGTCGGAACCGCCGATATCAGACCCCTGTAGAACATTTGTATGATCTATCAAACTTAACTCCCTGTGTGAAACATTTTTTTATTTGAAAAGCTAATTTCACGAACTTTTTCACAGATTATTGATTTATCGATAATATTTACTTATTATTATGATTTATTACGCTCAAGTTGCTCAGTTGTCGGAAATGCTGATAATACACCTTCCATTTTCTATATATTATATAGATATTTATTATTTTTTTTTTATTATTATAAATAACATACATTTTTGTTAATATGTTTAGTTTGTAGCTTCTTTTCATAAAAGTTTATTAAAGTTTCAAGCAGCAATTGTAGAACAGCTCTTTAGAAAAAAAAAACAAAAATTCAGTTCTTCGTGCAACAATTGTTCGCTGGGTAACGTTATCAGCCAACCAAACTTGAATACAACTACAACTTTCGACTACCTAATTGTTTTTAATGTCCGTATTAGAAGTAATTACCAACTCTTAACTCTTAAACACAGGCACTTTTCGAGTTAAAAACGGCAAAATTATTAATAATTAATTATTGAGGTGTATTTAAAGATCTAACTGTGCGTGTGCATGTTTGCTTACTTTGCTCTCAATGCCAATTGTCTGTCGCTGGGACAGACAAACTTATTTCCGCTGGTGTTGTTGTGGCTTTGAAAATCCATTTCCTGCACTGTAAATAAGCGACGACAACGGCAGTGTAAATAACTGACAGCCTGCTGGAGGTGTGTTGGCGGCGCTGAGAAATAGTGCTTTTGGCTATTGTGTTTGTTGCTTGTTAGCAATACTGTTAAATGTTGTCAGTTAAAACCTTGCCTGCAATGTGCTTCTTGTTTTTGTTTCGTAAAACACGGCGTATGCTGGGTGCTGTATATTTCACTTTTTGTTATTGTAATATTTCGAGAAACTTTATGGTATTTGCTGTTGTGTGGCATGCTATCGTTGGCGTTGTTGTTGTTGCTTTTGTGCCTGTTTCGCCTTGAAAATACACACAATGCTTCGATATTCACAAGTGGTTGTCTCGCTAGCGACATGCACCACACACAGCCACACTGGTGCTCACATATACAGTTGTGTATATTGCATACTTTTCGGCGCAGCTACAGCTGGTGCATGCTAAAAGCATATAACTACATGCAAATTGCACAAATTAATGCGTATTTGGCACATAATAAAAATAATAATTTGCATTTGAATATTCACACTCTCTAATTTTTTTTATTTCTTTTCACAAATTTTCTTTAATTTACATGCTGTTTGCTTACTTTCACACCGTATTTTAATCAAAATATGCACAAGCAATGTTTTTTATAGCCACTTACAGCACCTATTCTTTGAAACTTTTGCCGAATTGGCTTTGTTTCACTTTTTCACAGTTCTCCGTGCTTTGGCGCCTGCGATACGCCCTCTTCAGTCGACGGCAATGTACTGAGTGCTTAACCAAACAATCGGCGTCTGGAGTGTTGCTAGTCTGAGCCGCCGACGACACACTCGCCTGTTGCACAGTCGAACGCACTTGAACGCAACAAAAATAAAAAACAAAAACAACCAAAAACAGCAACGAAACAAGGCATATAAAAAGCAACAAAAAAACAAGGCATATCAAACGCAACAACAACAACACGAAATATTCACTGTAATGTAACACTATCGCCTCAGTGTCGAAAACCCCACTACGTTGGCAAATGTTTTGTACGAGTATATGAAATCGTGCAAGTGTGTGTTAGTGTGCGTGCGTTATCAACCCCACAAGCTAAATCCGCCATGCATACAAACACAAACGATTGTGTACACTTGCATGCCTGTTCGGCCGTGAGGGCACAGCACGTTCGTGTCTGCAACGAAAATGGCTAACAGGAGGCAGAGATAACAGAAAAAAACGATAAGGCGTGTTCACTGTGTAATGAGGAGAATATTTGTATGTAAATTTCCATACATACAAATGCATTAAAAAATAAATTAATAAACGATTACGAAAAAAATTAGAAGCAAAAAATATAAATTATAAAATATATTGTGATAAAACTAATTGAAAATATTTAAACTATATGTAAAACAAATCAAAATTAAATTAAATCAATTATAAACATATTTGTATAAAATTAATAGAAAATATTGCAAAAATATATAAAATATTCATATTCATACATAATCAAAAATATATTTAGCACAATACTAAAAAAACAACAAAAGTAATAACAATATAATAAAGATAATGTAAAATTGAAACAAAATGGTAAAGACGAGGGTCGAAAATTTATTAATACCAAAATTGGTGTTAAAAAATTAAAATATATTTTTATTAATCCGAAATGTTGAGATTAAAAATTGAAAATAGCTAAATTATTATTAAAAGGAATTAATATAATATTTTTTTAAAATAAATTAACATAAACTTATAACCCTTTAAGTCACTTGTGAATTAAAAAAATCGATTACATAGATATTTGTGGAAAAAATACAAATTTTTATAACGATTTCGATTAATTCTGAAGTGTAGATTTTTGCATAAAAATTGCTTTTCTTTTTCGTAAGCCGTCATTTTTGTTTAAATCAAAATTCCTTCGATCATTAAAAATATATATGTACATATATATGTACTACATATGTATGTACATCTACTTATTTATGTCAGTTGATTTAAAATAAACTATAATTGCATTTGGAATAGCAACCCTGTGGTATTCACATTGTTTGAGTAGTACGTCTTAAAGCACAGTAATACGGCTTAACGTCCTTGTCATGTCATGTACCTGTTTCACACTACTGGCCGCCACGTGTTTGAAATCTGTGAATACCCCCTATGGTGCAAGCCTCCCTAAAAGCGGACAATTTAATCATTTCAAGACATACCGTGTCCACGCTTAGCTTTTTAAAGGCGCCTTAGCACTTTGTAAATGCTTCGACAGTTGATTACTCAGCTGCATAGCGCGAGAGGGGTGTGTACAAAAACATGCATATACTCGCTGCACGAACACAAGGCAAACTTTGACAAATTTGATGGAGAGTTTGACGACCATCCAATGTAGAGGCTGGATTTTAAGAGCATACACAGACGTCGGTGCGCTTAAGTGTGTATGAGTATGTACATATGTACCACCATATGTATGTAGAACAATAGCAATCATAAATGCTGCTATCGCTAACAATGAAAGCACCGCAACTAACCCCAAAACAAACGTTGCCTAAAGTCACCGTTAATTGTGGCTTAAATGAACTTGGCGCTCAACTTCGTGCACTTTTCGGCGACTTTACTAACAGTTTCCTAATTCCTTGGGGAAATTTATTTATGACGAAATTTTTAGGGTGACAATGTGATCAGTTTTCGTGAGACCGTTTTTTTCTGGCTTTGTTTTGGACATATTTATGTCGGTAAATTGTAACAGTAATTACATACATGCATACTATATATAACACAAAAATATTAAAATATAAAAAAGTAAAAAAAAAAAAAATTATTAAAAATATAGGAAGAAAGTTGAATATTCTGCAAATAATATAGTTTTTTTATTCAATTTTGAGCCTAAATTTTTTTTAATTTTTAAAAATTCTTCAAAAATATACGTTAATTCTAAAATAACGGCTGTAAAGAAATTGATTTTTTATAAAACAATTAAAAGAAAATTTAAAAATTATTGAAAAACCATATATTTTTCGTTTAAAAGTCGAATTTCTTTTTTGTTAACATTAAAATATTGATATTCAAAGAATTATTTTAATGAAACATACATATGTACATATGTACATATCGTCACCTGAAATGCAAAATAACGTATCATCAAAAAATTCGAAATTAAGTATCTTATTGATTACGATTCACTACTTCAAATTACGTTGATAATATGACATTTTTCCAACATTTTCAGGTTCTGCGCTCAAATATAAAACAGTTTTAACCAACATTAATTTTTTCACTCTTATTCCATTTTATTTCGTCTTTCATTCATGCCGCTTTAAATTTTCGAAAATGTTGTTACGTTATTTTGCATTTTAGGTGACGATATTTATATTCTAAAATAATTTCGACAGTGGAAAAATATTTTTTATAAAAAAATTTTGTATATACATTTTTGCTTTAAATTTTCTTTTTATTAAAAAACCCTATTCTTAATACAAATTTTTAAATTTTTTTATGTACAAATATATATTCTAAATTAATGATTTTTTTCTTCAAATTTGTTCAAAAATATGCATATGTACATACATATATTATATTACCATTTTTATATATATTAACATTTTTAGAACTATCTTATCTTGAAAGAACTATACTTTAAAACATTAATTAATTGTGAATGACATTGTTTCTTTTCACTAATTCTCATTTTTACAACAATTACATACATACATACATATGTACATATGTACATACATACACCGCATGCATTTAGATAAAAAGAATATTTATTTAACATAAATCATTGTATTTATGATTTATTAGTCCCATAAGCTCATCACTTTGTACTGGTATTTACTGTTGATTATCTTGCCTCGGCTACACACCAGCTGCGCCATTATTGTGTTCACTTCATTTGTAGATATGTTTGCATTTGCTGCTTTTGCACAATTTTTACATTATTCATATTTCACCACATGCATATGAGTGTCTATTACAGCCGTTAGACAGCCAATTTACGAGGACGCGTTGGCACGACAAAGGTTGTCCTACTAGACAACAACAAACAAAACCTAACATTAACAGCTTTGCGGGCATTATTCTACACTGAGAAATTAGAATATAACAACCAGAAATGGAATATATAATGACTCTCAATGTCATTAAGCCAACTTAATAGTAATTCTCAACTGTTCTAGGTACCATAGATTAACACTTACCGATCCAAATGGGGATAAAATCCGGGTCAATTCCGGTGCGTAAAACCGGCTATCTTGGGAATTGTGCTCTAGGTACTGCTATACAGTTGTGAGCTTTCAAAAGCTTAAAAGTTTTCTGCTGAGAATACGACCCTGAAAGCTAAAAAATGTCCTTAAAGATAAAGGAAGAAAACTTCAGCTGCGTCCTTCTTCTCCCCTACAACTACATACGAAATATTCCTGAAGTAATTTCGAGTAATAACAATCAGGGTCCGTTCCGGATACTACGACTCAATACGACACGACTCAAATTATTCATAAGCCCAAAACCAAATAAAATTATTATTACTGTAGAGGAATGGAGATTATGATCGAACGATTAATCAAAATTTTAATTTTTCGCAAAATGTCGGTTTATCAAAAAACTTGCTTTTGTGAAAAAATCATTTTACTTAAAAACAGATTAAAAATCGAAATTATTGTCAGAAACCTTACTCCGTTGATCATGACAAATATATCAAAGAAAGTCTTGAAGGAATTCCCAGTTGTTGGGTTCAGCCCTATACACTAAATTATATCTCTGAAATTATATGTCGGATCAAATCAAATCAAATTTTCGTGGAACATTTTCAAATATACATACATATATATGTATATTCGACATTCAATAGCAAAGAAAATTCGCATTTTTGAAAATCGCAAATGAATGTGACCCCTTACAACAATAAGTACAATAAAACCACATACTTTTTTTTTAATTATTTATTATATTGTATTTTTGTCGTATGCAAATGCTCAATTTAAGTTTTTTATTGTTAAATATTTCGTATTGTTAATTTTTTGGTTCATACAATTTTTGCTAAAGCCATTAATGGCGCACAACGGTCTGTTTCGAAATCTTGTTTTAAGTTCGTTTTTTTTAAACAAATGTCTTTTCATTTTCACTTCAATGAATGTTTTAAGCTTATCATAATGGATTTTTATTAAATTTATATTTTTATAATATTTAATGCTTGTTGTTATTTTCCATTTGCATTTTGGCCGATTACTTTACTTAACTTTATTACTTTAATTTAGTTTTTATTATTTAAAAATTTTTATCACGCAACTAATGCTAGAATACAACTGTAACGCGACTACATATAACTGTAATTTTTATTTACTCCTTTCTTTTATTTCTCCACACTACTTGCTTTGTATACTACTTTCTATTTGTCCTTGCTCCGCTATATTTTGGTACACGAAAATAAGTTTCATTTACATTAAAATAAATGCACACAATACACACTCATATATTCTTATACATACCTATACATATGCGTAATTTGATGTGAAATTAATTTAATTTCATTATGAGACCTACTTTTCCTATATTTTTTGTACACACACATACAAATTAGGACTAGCTGCTTATGACTTAATTAGCATAAGGCTACATAACTGCTGAAATTCTGCTGGGCATATAGTCGATTTGTATAGAATGTTGTAGTATGTTAATACAAGAATGGGCGTAGCACCCACCGGTTTAAACGCTAACAACACAATGCCAAAATAATTCAGTCATTTTCACTACTCCTTTTATTTTTTACGCTTTCCATGCTTTTCCAAACGACACTCCATCCACCGCCCTCAAACTGCAGCCTGTTTTTATATCTACCTCGCTTCCATCTAATCCTTTGCTATCGGTTTCTTCACTTTTTTCACATGTTTCTTATGCAAACGCTTGTGGTAACTTTGCGCCAATGAGTTAACAATCGAGATTATGAAGTAGCAAACCATACAGATGACAAACGTCTCAAACACCTTTGACAATAAGTTACCAGACTCAGCCGCCGGTTGACGTTCACGGTGCAAGTGCTTCTTCTGATTGTTAAGGAAGCCTTTAAACGGCTCCTGCAGTTTTTTACCCAATATGGGTAACTTTCCGAGCACATCAACAGCTCGTTCAATAAGCGCCTCATTGAAAGCAATAATAACAAAAACTTTTTGTATGTGCATTTTGATAATGGCCTTGCCAATAAGCGTAGCACCGAAAAAAGTCCAGAATGGCACCAAAAAGTGACCGCATGTAATGCCGGCTAAGTCAAATAACGGGTTGGGAATCTGTATAATAGTAAAATAGAATTTATTATTATTGCATCAGTTATAAATTTTTTTAATCAACTCACACTTGCACATGCTAAAATGCCCAAAAAGCCAACACGTTCTACAACACGTTCCATAAATAATTTGCCCTTATCCATTAAACTCAAATTCTTTTGATTACGTTTGGCTTTCAATGCTTCGAATTCAGCCAACTCCTCGGCATCGTCGGGATCATAGCCAGAAAGGCGTGCTGCCTTTGCCATGAAATAAGGTGGCAGTTCGCCCAAAGCGGTGCCCGCACCCCAAAGGAAAGCTTCCATGCGTACTTTACTCATAATCATCCAAAGATTTGGCACTTTCTTTGCATATGGCTCTTCCGGGCAGATAATACTAAATAATTACGTTTAAAGAAATATTTATATACTATATCATGCATTACTTACTCATCGGGATATGGTGGTCGCGGAAAATTTAAAGAATTGCATTCATATGCAGCTAGCGTTACACTAGCTATATGTGGTCCCAGATACAGCAAAAACGTGTGCAGTCCCGTTCCCAGACCCACCGAGGAGAGTACACCCAAACCGGTCCAGTAGATGAAAAACCAAGTATTGCGACGTACCACATCCAAAACCAGCTGATGTGGACCCGGTAAATAATAAATAAAACTAAATATAGTACCTAAAACTAGGAGTGCCGCAAGCAAACCACGTTGTTGTAGTAAACTGTAATAAAAAAAAATTAAAAACATTTTAATATTTGTGCCACATCTAACAATTGTGCATGCTTACCGCTTGCCCGAAGTCTGCGCTAGCGTCACTAACTCGAGGCCACAATACCTCACAGTCTGAACCGGTCGACGCCATAGCACTAGCGTCTCACGTTCCGCTCGTTCCTTCTCTTTTTGCAGTTTGATTTGTGATTTTTTACGCATAAGCGCGGGTGCCGACACAGATGACGTGATGCTACCACTAGGCGTGGAGGCGCTGTTACTGGACCAAGGTACACCGCCATTCGACTTTCTATTGGCAGTTAATTGGTTGCCTGAGGCATTTGCTTTTTGTTTTACACTGTCTGCATTTTGTGTTTGATGTTGTTGTTGCTTACGATTTCGGCTAGTAGGCGAATTCTTTTTCAAATGTTGTGACATTTAAAATACCGTTGTTCGGAGAATGTAAGTGTTGGAAAATAGTTAAAGTATCTTAGGTGCTTACTTTAGCTTAGACAATAAAGAGCAGCAATAACTAATTCATAGAGAAATTGCATGCATCAATAGTGATTTGTTGCTGTTGTAGCGTTTACGTTTAGTTAATAGAACGAGCTGGAAAAAGAAAGAAATTTAGATGAATGTTTTTATGCAGATAACATATCACGCAGTCATTCCGTAATAGGTAGAAATACGAAGTGACTGGGAAGATATTGGAATAACTAACAATTACATTGGCCTTCAAGCATTGTGAATCTAAATTTTCGTCACTGATAAGGCAGATGATAATAATATGTCTTATCGTTAAATGCGGTCTACCTTTACACTCTTATTTGTTTGTCATGACTTAGCAACTGTTTTAAACAGGAACAAGTTTTTTAAATTTAAATAATTGATTATTTTATGACAATATAAAATGTTAAAGCATGCTGGTTATTGAACTTTGGGCGAAATACATTACGTGGTTGTGTACGAATGTGTGTATACACATTGACAAGCTCTAATAAATCAATAATATTTGAAGCATATTATTAATAAACAGTTTGTTTACACAGCAGATATAAGCATACAAGGAGGGAATGTATTTGTGGACATTCGAACACCTGGCAAACTTGTTAAATTTGGGTGCTGTGAACTATTTTTATTTGTACATGCTAATACAGCATTTTTACAAAAAAAAAAAGCTAGACGCCTTACATTTCGAAAAAATAGTCAAAGAATATATAACTGCTCAACGATGTAGCACAATACCTTGTATTCTTATTAATTTTTAAACTAGTAAGCACAAAACTTGAGTACCACTCAAATAGGGAAAAATTATAACCAAATGATGTCAGGTACCAAACAAAGCAAATAAAAAAAATTGACATGCGAACCGGCTCACCAATGAAATTAAACCACATACTATACTACGGCGAGAAGTGGGGCAGTTTGCATATACATACATATAAATGTATCTAAATATGTATTAAAAAGCACTTTTTGAAATAAAACTTACTAGCTTATTTTTGTGTGAGCAGCACATGTACTATATACATATAGAGAAAATAAATTCACGCAAACGCCAATTTTATTACAAACGTTCAATACAGTTTTGCTATCTTACAAAAGATTTAGCAATATTTACATTTGCCAATCGTTTGATTGATCTAAATCATTAGCTGTTCTATATCATTAAGAATAACAATGTAAAAAGCATAATCTGCATTGGTGCATATGACTGCATAAGACCGGGTACAAAAGCACTTTAAAATAAGCACAGGCTAGCAAACTGCACGGTCACGGTATTTTAAGGGCTGCGAATGCTAAATGTATGTAAATACACATACATACGCGTATTTTACCTGATTCGTTTCCCGAACCGTCACTTGGCAACTTATCGCTTAACTAATTCACGAAAAGTAGTAAGTTGAACAAACGAAAATAATATAAAAATAAATATAATAAAAATCTATTTGCGATAACTTACAAATGAGTGCAGAACTGCGGCCGTCTGTGCTATCGTATACTAAGGGAAAATCAATTTTAAACCCTCACTGCCTTTTTTTGTTTGACAAGACTGCATTGGTGATCACAAAATGAACACGATTGCAATTAAACCCAGTATAAGGTCTCAATAAAAAAAAGAATATACAACCTTGAATAAACAAAGTCACGTATTAAAAAATCAGCTTTTGAAATATTTTGCAAATTAACACTAGTGTAGCACATGATATGGTATTTACTTTTTGGGTTTCTCGCGCTTCCGTCTGTTCGAAATAGTTTTTTCTTTATTTGTGTAATTCCGCAAACGCTCTTCACGTATTTTAAGCGAATTTCAACCATAAATTTGTTGGATTTACTATGCAATTATTTCTAATTTACATTTGTTCGCTTTTCTTACTCTTTTAACCCGTGATTAAGGATTTAAAGAACAATCCACAACTTAAAGCAAAATTATTCAATTCAAGAAACGACTAAACAAACTGCCATCACCAATATTTTACTCCGAATGAAAATATTCCGAATGTCAGTCAGCAAGAGTTTGAGAAAAGAAAAAGACTGACAGAAACTCGTTTCGGACTCAGGCAAACAGCTGATATGAAAAATAAAGTTGCCATTACTAAAGAAATCGCTGTGGTGTTGCCATAAAGCTAGTGCTATGTGTCTCCACAATCGCAATACACTGCTAAAACAGCAACTATCGGTTAAATCATACTTTAAGTACTAGAGATTTCCGTTAAAGTTTCGATTTTTTTACGACTGAGTTGAAACTTTCGTATATGTATCGTCGTTCAACTCTTCCTTTCGATTAATTTAAAACTGTATATATATTCAAGTTAATCGTTTTTCAATATATTGTAGTTTAGAATCGGCTTGAGAATTTTTACTAAATTTAGTAACTCATAAATCCATCTAAGGATATAAGTACATTAACCATTAGGCCCATAAAAAAAACAGTACATTTTAATATTACAGGAATACCGCCAGCACGATTTTCTTTTATTTTGTTATTCAAAAATTAAAAATAATTCATTTATACACGTTTTGTCCTAGATGATGAACAATTCCATCGTCCAAGGAAGATAATAGTATAAGTTTTTGAAAATTCGCATTGTAAAAATAATTATTATAAAAGTAAAATATATAATGTCTAGAAGAAAATTTGTAACTGTAAGAACTAAAAATTGCTGAAAGTACCAAACCCAAGGGGAGTACCGTAAAAATAAAAGATGAATTGGATTATAATATTTATAACTAATATTTATAGCTACACAAATTATTTCATATACATAATATATATCCATTGTAT